CAGGAAGTATAGGCGGGACAAGGAGGAGAATAAAGCTGGGAAGTGGAAGGCTGAGTCAGAGAGACACTGCCAGCCGCCATGATGACAAACAGCATGTGAAGATGCCAGTAAGCCATGAGCCATGTGGCAAGGCATAGATTTATAGAAATGGATTAATTTAAGCTGTAAGAACAGTTAGCAAGAAGCCTGCTACGGCCATACAGTTTGTAACCAATATAAGTCTCTGTGTTTACTTGGTCGGGTCTGAGTGACTGTGGGACTGGCAGGTGAGAGAGATTTGTCCTGACTGTGGGCCAGGCAGGAAAACTTTAGCTACAGCATGGTACCACAGGCTGGGAGGGCTGTAAACAGTTGACGCTTACTTCCTGTGGGTTCTGGAGGCTGCCACATCTCAAGATGTGGGAGCCAGTGGGGCAGGGTTCCAGTGTGAGCTCACTTCTGGGTTGCACACTGATGTATCATGTCAAGGTCAGGACTGTGTCAACGTACAAACCTCAAAAACAAAACAAACCCACGGCTCTTACCTCAAAAAGCATAAGAGATATTGTATTCTGGAGCCAAATATGAGTGACCATGACCAAATCCAAGTTACCCCAAGTTCCCTGGTCCAAACTGGTAACAGTTTTGGTAAGTTTTTATAGTAACAGAACAAAGCAAAGCATGAATCAGGACGTGTTGCAGATACGTTGTTGGCCACATCAGGGGATGGTGACAGCAAAGCAGGACAGTCTCTGTCGCAGGCCCAGAGGTTCCCTGATGACATCCTTGGCTTTTGGGAAGCTGAGAGTCTGTGTGTACATTTCAAAAAGATTTATTTAATAGTCAGAAGGTCAGACACAGAGGTGGCCAATGAATGATTAATTAGAAACTGAGATAGCCCCAAATCATCAGGCTCTGGGCCTGCACTATGCCAGTTCTCCACTGTCATTGAAGCTTGGAAAGTGGTAACACTGGTGCAGCTCCCCCCCCCCCAGAAATGTTAGTTAACAACGTATTTAGCTTTGACCACATCCTTGAAGATATTGCTACCCAAAGCAGGCATAGTGGAGGTTAGAGATTCAGACTTCTTCGAGTGGACACAATTTAGTCCGCAGCAATGGTTGTAAAAATATCCTGAACTCATGAATGAATGTGTTTTAAAGTATGCAGTTGATTATAGATAAAAGATTATTGGCAGCCTATATATTAATAAATTAGTTTACAAACAAGAAAACCAAAACAACAACAGAAAGCCGTGACCTGGATGTGGTGATGCATGCCTACAATCTCAGCACTCAGGAGGCTGGCGCATCATAAGGAGCCTATACTGAATTAATTCATTAAAATAGCAAAACTAAAATTGAAAAGCCCAGAAACCTCCATAGTTCTGTATGTTTAATGTGGACTTTTAAAAAGTCAGGTCAGTTCTTACTTCACAGTGAGATTACTGAGTCACCTGTCACCAGATGAAGCATGGCTGTAGAAATACCCCGGAACCTCTCATTCCCCGGGGCTTTCATCTGTTCCTGTGACCAGGCCCAGGGAACAGGACTTCTGTGTACTGAGGCGAGCTCCCCTTGCCTGGGAACCTTTAGCCATGTGACCTCCCTCCCTCCCTGACACTAGAGGCTCTAACCCTGAACAAAAGATGGACCGTCTCTGCATTTGAGGAGTAGGCCTGTTTACCACCTACTCTGGAGGACAAGGTGTCTCTGAAAAGCTACAGGTAGCTGTGCTGTGGATGAAGCGTCTCAGGTGCCTGTTGCTTCACAGTCCTCCTGCAGACCTGCCCCTTAGGGCCAGACACCCGTCGAGGCTCATCTTGCCCCAAGGGACTTTGAGCTCCTATTTCCTCTCCTGTTATTGACTCCTCCATGGAATGTGCTGTCTTCGGCTCTACATCTGACTTTGGGATAGCAGGCTGCTGGATGGTAGTGACTAACACTACCTACAGCTGCCTCTAAATGTAACAAGCTGTGCTCTGGGAACAGTGTCTGAATCCCAAGCAATCCTGACCAAAATTCACCATAATTGCCACTGAACTCTAATTTGTCTGCTCTACTATGTCCAAATGAGTCACGTCATTTCATTTAGGAGAGTACCTCGGTATCTCTTCAGATGGGGTCAAATTTCTGCTGCTCTCAGCACCAGACACATGGAATGAAGAGGTCAGTTCCTGACCTGTAGGACATAAAACCATCTGGCAGAGGCAAATAGATTCTGTCTTCTAGGTGGAGTTAAATGTCACAGGGCTGTTGACACCTGGACAGAAGTGATCTCAAAGGAGCAAGGTGTACTTCTTCCTAGATTCTCCAGAGGGCATCAACGAATGCTTCAGAGAGACATCTACCCCTGGGCATGTCATGGAAATGGGAATATGAGATGTTCTCAGAAGGAGCCACACTGCATACAACACCTGCTTGTCAACAAGCTTGCCCAGGTCACATTCCTCCTTTGCTAAGAACTGCCATGTGACAGGTATTTTTCTAGGGACAGGGAATGCAGCAGGGAATAAATTCAAGTTCAAGTGCATGATTCTTTCCAGTACTCAATACACAGCACCATATTTTCTTTCTTTTTCTGTATGAATGAGTGGGCGTATGCATGCTCATGTGTGGGTGGGCACACATGAAAGCCAGAGGTCAGCCTCTGTTGTCAACCAGTAAGGGTTGTCTGCTTTGGAGTTTTTGAGAGAGAGTCTCTTACTAGGACTCAACTGGTTACCCAGAAAAGCCCCAGGGATCTGCCTGTCTCTTCCTTCCCTGGGGCTTGGATTAGGAGCATGTGCTACCACACGTGCAATTTGTATAGGTTCTGGGGATCGAACTCAGATCCTCACGCTTGCCCACCAAGGGCTTTTATCACCTCAGCCACCTGCACAGCCTTCAGCACCATCTTTCCACTTCCACAGTGTTATTGAGCATGCTTCTCATGCACAAGACATTTGGGGGAGTGTGGAATGACTTACGCAATGCTGGCCTCAAAATACTTGCCCCAGAGGGAAGGAGATCACAGGCAATCACACATAACTCTGTGACCTTTCACCTTTGCAATGTTAGCCTTAAAAATATATGTAGCTCTTTTATTTGTCTGTTCATTTTATGTTCTTGGTGACAAAATAGAAACATTACAACAAAACCGAAATCTTACTGACCTGGTTTTTAGATATTGATCAAAGTTTCGACTTACATTTTCTTATGAACAAAATAAAATGAACTCTGGCCCAAAGAGAGCTACTCTGTTTCTACTCAAATTTGGACCAGGTGGGATTGAGTGCCACTTGCAAAGAGATCTCTCAGCTTGCACACAGGCCTCTTGTGTTGTCTGGAGAGGAACACAGAGTCAATACTTCCTTGGCTGTTATGTCAAGAACTTTTGTCACATGGATGTTTGAATGTCTGGATGTCAGAGAGGAGGCAGAGATGTGACATTGTGCAACCGTAGGTTCCAAGCGTTGGGCCACTAAAGCTCTGCCATGGATTTCCTCTTCCTCTTGCTTTCTTCACTCTCACCCACCAGTGATGAGGGTGTGCTAATCTCTGGCCCCGTCTCTTCCCTCCCTCCCTCTATTTGAACACACCCTTCTAGCTGGATTGTCATTTGTTGCTCTTGTTCTTAAACATTTCTCACTCCCTAATGAGTTTTTTAATTTAATTTTTTTAGGTCTATGAGTGCTTGTCTATCTATCTATCTGTCTATCTATCTATCTATCTATCTATCTATCTATCTATCTATCTGTCTGTCTGTGTGTATGTATACCTATATGTGCACCTGGTACCTGTAGAGGCCAGAAGAGAGCATCGGATCCTCTGGAACTGAAGTTATGAATGGCAGTGAGCCACCATGTGGGTGCTGGGTACTGAACCTGGGTCCTCTGCAACAGCATCAAGTGCTCTTAACTACTGAACATCTCTGAAGCCCCCAAAATCTTGATATAAAAATTCATTAGAAGGACTAGGAAGATGGCTCAGTGGTTAAAGAACTTGCTGCTCTTGCAGAGGACCTGGGTTCAGTTCCCGGCACCCACATGGATGCTCATAGTCCTCTGTAATCCCAGTTACAGGAAATCTGACTCTCCCTTTTGTCCTCCATGGGTGCTGCATGTATGTGGTGTATGGAAATACACACAGACAAAACACCCATACCCAAAAATAAAGAGAAATAGATCTTTAAAAATAGCAAGAAAAATAAAGATTTGTGAAGTTTTTAAAAAGCAACTGGAATTTTCTCTTCTACTGTTAACAGAACAGAATAATAGATGCCAAATTAGCTGATTCTTCTGGTTCCCAGGCCTCTTCACTTGGAGAGGGAAGCCCTGTCACACTGTCTTGGTCTAATTTATCTTTTGCCATCTCAGGACTGCCACAAGGCACTTGTTAAATAATATTCCTGTCAGTGGAGCCTCAGCTTCCCTACCTCCTGGGGAGAACACCCTCTCACACCACCCTAGGTCTGCCCTCAGCCTCCAGGTGTGGCCTTTGCTGTCCTTGTACACAGTCAGGGAGATACCAGGAAAGGACATGAATGGCCTCTATTATTCCTAAACTCAAAAGCTCTTGGGAATTGATGGATAATTTCTGCTGTGTTAGAGGGAAGAATTCAAATCAGTGTTTCCCTCTGATATCATGAGCTTCACTCAAGGGAAGGATTAATCAGATCAGTCGGGTTTCCAGAGTAGGAGAGGCCTGCAGGGAATGAAGAGCCCAGCAGACAGGCAGTGAGTGTCCCCCTCTGCTGTGTAGGGGAGGGGATGCTTTCCCTGCTGAGAAGGGGTGCTCTGGAGCAGCAATGACAGGACAGCTGGGGAGCAGCAGCAGGTGGAGCCCTCTAGGGTCGTAGTGTAGTGGGCCTCAGGCACTGGGTCCTTCAGTCCTAGAGTGACAGCTCCTTTGCAGCCTTAGGTATCAGGAGCGGATCTGACCTGCAGCAATCTGCAGTTCTGCCAGCAGCCAAGGCTTCTTGCAGGCTTTTATCCTTCTCAGCCTCAGTCCCCTCCCGTCTCTCTCTTCCCATTTTCCTAGGCGGTGGCTCTTCTGGGACGTGTCACTTGTGGTTACTGCTCCTGCAGTTGATGTCTGTGACGGCTTTTGCCCACTGCTGGCGTTTCCATCTCTGCCATCACTGCTGTCGCGGGACAGCTACCACAGTCTCTACTGTCACTTAGCTGCCACACCTTCTGTCTTTGCCATGGCCTCTTCACTTCGTGTTACCAGCTCAGCCCACTTGATTCATGACGAATCAAACTAAGCAAGAAAAAAGAGCGCTCAGGAGAAGGCTCACTTTGCAGCAACAGCGGCAGCGGCAGGCAGGAGGGTAAGTGAGGCTGGCTCACGGAGTGGGCCCACAAGTCTATGTAGCCAGATCACCTCTGGGCATAGTGTCGCCACCCTCTCTTTATCATGAAACCATGGCCCTAGTCAGGCAGGGAAGTAAGTAAAAGAATACAGTGGGAGCTAGGTATTCCGTCATGGTAACAAGACTGTTCATGCCCACTCATAGGCATAGAGAGGGCATAGAGTTACCAGAGCCCCACCTGGGATTGTACCTGCCACTGCCTTCTGCCCCGAGCTGTGCGTGATACTGGAGGTGGTCCAGTATATAGGAAGTATCTATATAAGTGGTTCCCAACCTTCCTCAATGCTGTGACTCCCAACCATAAAATTAATTTTATTGCTACCTCATAACTGTAATTTTGCTACTGTTATGAATTATAACATAAGCATCTGATATGCAGAATATCTGATATGTGATCCTCCCAAAGGGGCCGAGACCCACAGGTTGAGAGCCACTGAAGTAGAATTACTGAGAGTGATACTTCCTGATGCAGTCTCCAGTGCGGTCACTAAAAGAAGGAAGAAAGGAGTGACAGGTTTATAAAAGGGAGCGGACACGAAATTACCCTTCGGCTGGGCTTTGTTAGAGACAGTCTGTGACCGCAGTCATCTGTGTCTTCTCCTCAGTTGATCAGGCCTCGAAGCAGCGGAGTGTTAGAAGAGAGCCAACCCCATGCCATAGGCAGCAGCATGGTGGGACCTTGAAGGGTGAGCCTTCAATTTCAGAGAACAAATGGGTCTCTGTCTCTTAAAAGTTTTCTTCTGGAGATGAGAGAAGCTCCATGTTATGTGATCTAGCTTGACCTGACCTATGTGCCGGAAGTCAAGAAGGCACTAGTAAAGCTGTAATTGAAGGTTGCCTTTGGTCTAGGAATTGAGGGAGGGGGTTGCTCATGTCGGCGTGTGAGAGGGGAACTGCAAGGCCACAGTGTAGTCCACTTTCTTATCAACTCTGTCAGAAAGACAGTCAGACAGTCAGTCAGACAGACAGACAGACACAGAGAGAGAGAGAGACAGACAGAGAGAGAGAGAGAGAGAGAGAGAGAGAGAGAGAGAGAGAGAGCGCTACAGGGGGGTAGTCTGATTGCTGACGTAAAATTTTCTTGTAGATAGGCTTTGTTATAAAAAAGAGATCTTCATGGCCACAGGCAGCTGTCCATGATCAGGCCTTGAAATGAGAGAGGATTAGAAGAAAGGGAACACCATACCAAAGGCAGCATGGTACAAGCCTTAAAGGGAGAGACTCCAGTTCTGAAGAACAAAGAAGTCTTCTGAGTCAAGGTAACTAAAGATTCTGGGATCTAACAGTAATTATTCATGATAGGGTGGGATGTTTTCATGATGCACCTTTTTGGGTTTTGTTGTTGATGTTGTTGTTGTTGTTGTTGTTTGTTTTTTTAAGTCAGCCACACTCCTATAAGTAACCCTTCCCCCATGCTTCTATAAGTAAGCCCAATAAACTCTCTGGTTCACCGAGTGGGACCTGGAAGCATCATTCCTTCAGTCTGTTAGTGGGGCTTGATCTGGGGTGAATACACATTTATTCCCATCTCCCCAGGAAAGCCACACAACACTGAAGCTCCACCTTCAGGAGCCAGAGTCCTGCCCAGCAGCAAGGAGCTGTGGTTATCGTGCGGCTTCCTAGAAAGCTAGTGGTGGCATGAGGCTTATCCAAAGGGCTGTTCGATGGGCAGTCCTTAGTTCAAGGAAGCCAAAACCAGGGGAGAGCCAAAGGGCTGTTCATGAGGGGCACACATTGCCCCATTCTCCAAAGTCTTGGCTTATTTACAGGGAAAAATGTCCATCATAAGTACTCACAATATTAACAGTGATTTTAATAGTGTTTAATAGCACTTTAACAATGTTAAACACCTACTCAGAACTTGAACAAAAGTGATCCTCAGTCTGTCCTAACTGGTAGAGGCCTAGTGGGATGAGGTTTGAAACTTACACTGGAGAGGGGACAAGCATGAGTGATGACCTCTGGTGTCTAAAACACTGGTTCTCAACCTGTGGGTCATGACCCCTTGGGTTGAACAACAACAGGGGTCACCTAAGACTGTTGGAAAACAAATATTTACATTATGATTCATAACAATAGCAAAATTACAGTTATGAAGTAACAACAAAAATAATTTTATGGTTAGGGGTCACTTGTATTAAAGGGTCGCAATATTAGGAAGGTTGAGAAACACTGGTCTAAAACCAATTAAACTCCACTAAGGAGTCATTGGTGGTTGGGGACTAAGATATCTCCAGTGTGCACTGTGAGGATTCATTGGTGGCTCTTAGGCTCTGTTCCTCCAGCCTTGCCTCCATTTGATGTATCCTGAGCATTCATGATTGCATGAAATGTGAGGATCAGATCCTATCTTTACTCTTGGAGAAACAAAATATTCATATATACAGACAGAGATCTGGGGCATGATCAGAGAAGTGATTTGCTGAGAAGAATGAGCCTGCACACCCACGTGCATGGCTTGCTGAGGGGGTGGGGGGGTGAGGGGGGTGGGGGGGGGTCAGGAGCTGTGATGGCAAGCAGAAAAATGAGAAGGAACTAGAAAACAAAAATCCAAAGGTTTTGCAATAAGGTCTTGGCATCACAGTCTTACAGACTACCACATTCCGTATTAATCAGGAGATGTGAAAATGATCCCTTTCCAAGCTGAGAATTCTGGATCTGCTGTTGGATAAAACCCTGAGCCATTGACTATTTTCAAGTCTGGGCATGGCCAAAAGCAGCTTGGAGGCTGCTCCATCTCTCCTTGCAGGACTCAGGAAAATCTGATTAGGAAGCACTTCCTGTGCAGCCAGGTGAGAGGAGATGCTGCTCCTTCCGGTTTCCGTTGGAAGGAGTCATGGCCAGCTGTTGATACTGAGGCAGGAAGAGCCAAAAGCAGGGGGAGGCCAGGGCAAGTCTGGGAGGAAAGTCAGACTTGGGGATGTCAGATGAGGCTGCGCTGGGCATGGAGGACAGAGGAGCCTGGAGTCTGAAGCAGGGTCAGTACTGCAGGAGACATCTGATCGAAGCACTGTGGGAAAACTGGGGCTTGGGGTTAGATTCAAGGGCAGGCAGAGCTTGTTAGGAATCAGCACCAGCTTGCAGGACAGATCCTTGGCTGATGGGGAAAAATAAATCTCTTCCATGGGACGAAAGGCCAGAACACCACCTGAGGCCAAGTCTACCCTCATCTTTCACCTTCTAGAAATTTCTACTGCATCTGGTCTTAAGGGCCCAGCCATCTAGTGTCTGTTCTAGGCCTATGAATGTCAGGGATGTGGGAGGGAGTCCACAAGGGCCCACATTTCAGCGTGGCAGTGGCCTGAATTTGCTGCCTTGCTGTGTAGCTGCTGAGTAGGGCTGGGAAGCCAGCCGCCTCTAGCCATTTGCACCCGAGCTTTTACATTAATAAAAGCCCTTTATTTCCAGAATGTTTCACATGCTTCTGTTATGGAATTTGTAATAATCACGTGCTGAAGTATCACAAAACCAAATTGGAAAAACCCATGTAGCCAGTAGTTGAGGGTGCTGTTAGGGCTTCCGGATAGCTCTCTGTGCCAAAGTGACCTCCCTCCATGGTATAGATGTTTCTAGACAAGCTTCTCAAGATACTAGGGCACTCTCTTTCCCATGTCTGGGCTCCCAGAGATGCAGGACTGGCTGACCTTTCACATTCCATCTCTACATTAAGAGTGAAAGTTGTAAAATGGTCTTGGAGTTGTTTGTTTTGTTTTGATTTATATTGTTTTTTGGGATGAAAACAGCCGCCAAAAAATAAGACCGTATGATATTTGACCCAAACAAGCCAGGTAGTTAAGCACAGTGTTTATATGTGTGTTCTCTTCCCTTTTCCTCCTTTGCCTAGAGGCATGCTTTCAGATAATTCCTGCACTTCAGAATATATGATTCCACCAGAAAAGGGGTGGACAGTCTAGTGCCTACTGCGATGTGCTTCATCCTTGTCATTTTGATGGCTCTGGATTCTAATGTCCTCCCGTGACCTTGAATGTCCATGGAAGGGGTTACCTTACCAGCCCGATGTTTGCAGCCTCAGCCCAGAACCTATAGAAGGCCATCTAGGAATCTGGCCTTGGCTGCTGGGAATGGCAAGAGTATTTGGTAAAGAATAACCCTACCTTCATCCGGGATAAGCATTTGTCCTCAGTGGAATATCTGACTCCAGCCTGTGCTAGTCATTCCCAAGAAGCTCACTGCTGACAGGAGTTCAATCAAGTATTACAAGTATGGAAATCAGCGTGGGTGTTCCTCAAAAAGATAGAATTAACCAGACCTGCTAGTATGTACCTTTAATCCAGTACTCAGAAGGCAGAGGCAGGCAGATCACTGTGAGTTCAAAGTCAGCCAAGTCTACATAGTGAGTTCCAGGTTAGACAGAGTCACATGGTGAGACCCTGTCTCAAGCCAAACAACAACAACAACAACAAAGAAAACAACAACAAAAAGCTGGAGATAGATCAACCGTGGGATCCAGCTATAACCCTTAGCACATACTCAAAATACGCTAAATCCTACCACACAGACATGGGCTCATCCACGTTCATTGCTCTATTCACAATAGCCAGGAAATGAAAACAGACTAGATGTGCATCAGCTGATAAATGGACAATAAAAACACTGCATATTTTCACAATGGAATAGTATTCAGCTGTTAAGAAAAATGAAATTATGAAACTTGCAGGCAAATAGGTGGGGCTGGAAGTAATCATTATGAATGAGGTAACTGAGACCCAAAAATTCAAGTGTCCCATGTTCTCTGTCCTGGGTGGACTCTTAAGTTTTGGGTCACTCATTTTCATACATTTCATCCACTTCATGTCTACAGGATCATCCCCCTCTTCTCTCTAATTAATTCCATTTTCCTAGTCAGAGTTCAGCACAACTTTCATTATGTAGCTGTCTGTAGGTGGATTTTGTCCTGCAATCCAGCTCCCAAATAACCACACAGAGACCTATTATTAATTATAAATGCTCAACTGATAGCTTAGGCTTGTTACTAACTAGCTCTTACAACTTAAATTAACCCATATCTTTTAATCTATGTTCTTTTACATGGCTCAAATACCTTTACTTTGTAAAGGCTATGCTGCTTCCTCTCCCTCTAGCTAGTGACTCCACCCTTCTTCCCAGCCTTCTCTTAGTCTGATTCTCCTACCTAACCTCTTCCTGCCTAGCTACTGGCCAGTTAGCTCTTTATTAAATCAATGAGAGCAGCACATCTTCACAATGTACAAAAGGATTATTCCACAGCAGCTGTCTACTATGAGCAAAACTCAGAGTTTTCTGAATAGCCCACAATAGCAAGACCAGTGGCTAGAAAACACCTCCTGACCTTGAAGCTCATGGTAGAACTCAAGGAAAGACCCCACCCTTCTGGAGTTGCTGGGTGAGGAAGGGTATGATCAATAGGAAAATCCAAAGCCCCCTTTTATAAGGAGGTCACCTCCAGTTGTGAGTGGACAGAGGGGTCACTCACGTGCAGAGAAATGTAGCTTGTTTTGGGTATCCTCATGCCACTCTTTCTGCTTTTCCTGTTAGCTTAGAGGGTGTGTCTAGCAGCCGAAATGAGCCGTGAAATGTGTTTGTTACACGGCATAGCACAGCAGGTAGAAATAAGCTCCATCCATAAATTAATTCCATTGTAGTGACAAAGCATTCAGACACCAGGAGGCTGTGGCTGGCAAGCCTGAAGACCAACTGTGTGTAATTAAAACAGAGGAGTTCTCCTTTTCAGGGATACGAGCCAAAAAAGCAAATAAAATGAATGTTCAAAATGGATTTTCTTTCCCAATTAGTTCAAGAAAATGCTAATTAGGTGAGTATATTAATGAATCATGTTTCTAAAACAATAAAGCTGGGTACCTCGTGCCCCTCCGGTCACAGGCACTCTGATGTCTCTGGGGTCCAGCATCCACAGTTAGTCTCTTCCTCACAAAACAAGCAGTAAAACCACTCTGACCTCTCTTCTGACTCTGCATCTGACTTTAAGGGAAATCTAGACATCCAAACAAGAGACACTCCAGCTGGCTCCAGCATAAACTGCTTTAGTTTGTGATCTGCCACCCAGTGAACACACATTACACAATCACACATGCACACACACACCATACACGTATACATACATCGCACAAACACACACACACGCACACACTCATACATACTAAACACATAATACACATACATGCACACACATATACACACACCATACCACCCACACACACATACATACATACATACACACACCACACAAACAACACACACACACACACACACACACACACACACACACACACACACACACACACATTCACTTTAGTTTTGTCATAAGTGCTAGATAGTGGTGGGCTCAGTGAGAAGGGAACAGGGTGACTAGTGTCCTGTCTGGGGACACTAGACACTGGGGAGATAGACACTGAATTTCGATTAGGAACACTAGAGTTTCTCAAATACTGTGAGGTCACTCACACTCATATTTTCTGGTTTCTGTTTCTCCATGGCTAGAAGGGAACATGCCCCACATTCCTTACAGTAATAAAACAGTGTTATTTTAAGAAAAGAGCAATATGAGATAGCTAGAAGCAATATACTTATATATTTAATATACACTTATTGGATAAATTTATGACTTAAAATATTAATGTTATGACCATGAAATACTACTACAAAATCATGATTAGCATAAATCTTATTCAACATGAGGCATGAAGTCTATGAGTATTTCTGAAAATCCACAGAGACATTCTGGGCCTTTCTCCTTACCATGGGTGGTAAAGATGTGTTCATTTCCCAGGGTTCTCTGGGTGACTGCAAGGACCCCTCTCTCTACTGTCACTAAGGGCAGTTTGTATATTCGAATTCTGTAACTAAAAAACCGTTGGGGGAGGATTACCTTAGTTTGTCGTAACTTACTCTGGCCACTAAGGTTGAGTTTCACGGTATTGAAAACTATGACTTCCTTCTCTATTTGGAAATAATTGTTCAGGCAAACAACATCAGCATGCCAGTGTTTACCAGAACGGCAGCTGGGGTATTGTGGAAGGATTTTCACCCCCATACAGACTGGAATCACAAAGCCTTAATGCTTCAAAACAAGTCTACCGGTTAGTGAGTATGAAAGACTCGCGGCTCACTGCTGCTTCCGGTTGCCCCACCTGGTGGTCTATTTGGCATAAAATGGAAACATCTATGGCTGCATGCACTGAGGTACCTAGCCCACCCATGTGGCTGGAAACAGCACCAGGAACCAACCTTGTGGTTCAAAAGACTTGGTAAGAAACTGTATGGAAGGTGGGATTTTTAGGGACCATCTCAGACCTCACAGCTGTAAGTGCTTTTTTCTGTGTGGTGCCTTGCTGTCCAGGTGCTGTGAAGGTGACCCCAAGTGTGGTAGCTGTGCACCCTCGTCAAGGATCAGGCCAGGGAAGTCTGTCTTTTCCTAGAAACCAGACAACATTGCCAGGGCTTAAAGAATAGAATCCCAGAGGTAGCACAGTTTTCCTGTTGCTATTATAAAATGCCCTGACTTTTGTGTTTTAAGGGATTTTTGTTTGTTTGTTTGTTTGTTTGTTTTGCTTAAGGGAGACAGGATTTGTTTAGGCTGCAGATCTGAGCCTACCACAGTGGAGTCAGAGCAGCAAAGGCTTAAGCTTGCAATGCAACCAGGTGCAATACAAGTCAAAAAGCAGAGTGGCCCCCCGGAGCCTCAACACCACGGTATTGTCATCAAGCACTGCTAAAGGGACATGCAGGCTTCTACACCCACACTTGGTAAATCCCAAGTGTTTGTGGTAATTTTTCTAGAAAGTGCCCTGGCCCTTTTGGGAAAAGACTGTCCAGTTCGTCAGTAGTAACTCGCCGTGATTCTGACAAAAGCCCCAGGATTATGACTAATCTGTAACTGTTTCTGTCTATGTGGCCTTTGAGTCATAGATGACTACAGTTAGCAGCCACAACCTGAGGAAATGGGGAGTGTGGGCCCAGCTGAGTGGCCGGATTTCTCAATGGTACTGGCTGTGCCATATTACTCCTTATAGCAAAGATAAGGACCTAGGAGTTTTTATACAGTATTATAAACTGATGGAAATCTGGCATTTCTGGATGCAGGACTTTCACTTAAACACAAATTTGGGAAGGTGGAGGGCAGCTTGGAACTATTCTTCCATGGAACAGATAATGTAAAACTTGACATTGTTTTTCTTCTATGAAGGAAGACTGACCCTGTGTGGAATGGCCAAAATAGAAAAAATGAAGTTAATTGCCTGTTCCCTAAGTTTACACCGCCTAGACGGCATGTGTGGACATGAAAGTCCATGTGGAACAATTGGATACATCGAGACAACTAAGGTAAGACCTGGAGGATTCCTGAAGGGTGTGGGACTGCAAGAGCTCCCTATCCCCGGAATGTGCAGCCTGATGGGGTATGGCCCGTTTATACTGAGAGTATAAGGTAAAGTGGGTCATTTCACACACACACAAAGGGCGGCTGCCTTTCTGTCTGACAAGTTTGAAGACACAGGGGAGAAAAAGAAAGAAAAATGAAAAGCAGAGAGTGATGAAGATTTGTGCTGAGCTCACCTTCTCCTCAAGACCAGGATCCCAATCGAGGAACAGGGCAGCCCACAGTGGCCACCTCTTCTCAGCTCAGTTCACCTAAGCAAGGCAATCTGTCTTGGCCATGCCCCACAGGCTGCCTCTGGTGTGGTTCTAGAGCTTTTCAAGTTCCACAACGGAGATTAACCACCACCCTGCCACCAGCTTTCAATCAGTGTGGGTAAAGAGAAAGCAGGGGCTGCCTCTGTCTGAAAGACCTGTGGAAGAAGTAAAGCCACACACCCCATTGTACTAACGACAGCCTTTGCCATGAGGACCTCAGCGGTATAAGTTTCTTGCAGATGTGACCATTACCCTTAGTGTTGGAGAGAGCTAAGTTGGCCTGGGGTACCACAGGCCTTGGTTATTCAGCAGTCATTACCAAGGCCATTTCCGTCTCGTAGAAACATGGCTGGACAGATTCCCAGCCTCCATTTCAATAAAGTGCAACTTTACTGCTGTATTCTAACCTGTGGGACATCTGTGGACCATAACTTTCTAGGCCTGGCCAGGAAATCACTCACCCGTCCCTGAGCCCCCCTCCTCCATCTACCTGCAAGTGGAATGCCAATGTCCAGGGCAACTATGGAGGAAGGTACAAGAAGAAGACCACAGAGCACGGGCAGCCTGGACTCCTGGATGAATCCTTCCAGTGAGTACTGTACTCTGAGAGTAAGACGTAAAATTCAGCTGCTGAAGTGACTGTGCTAGTTCATCACAGCGGCTAGCGGCACGGGTCAGTGTCTGCCTAGGTCCGAAAGTCATGCTTGGGGTGCGGGAGTTCTCAGCAGCCTTTGATGTTTCCCCTAATTAGTTAAACCAGCCACTGTGGCTCTGGAACCAGTGTCTGCAAATGAATAAATAAATCATGGGCAAAAAAACACTGGACAAACAACAATCAGACCTGCCAGAAGTATGTGCCCTGGAGGGCAGTGTTGGGCAAGATGGTAGAGTAGCTCCTCCCCCGGGCTCCTTTGTGCAGAAACAGCCTGAAGCAGCCGGGGATGTATTCTCGGGAAGTGAGACCTCCAGCTCTTGGTGGCAGTTCACAAGAGGCCCGGAAAGAGAGTGGCCAGCCCATCTCTACTGTCTAGTGGCTGAGCAGGGAGGAAGGAAACAGAGGGAGGCGACAGTGCCAGTAATTAATTTAGGATCAGGGCAGTGCACACCCTGGGATTGGATGGCTGGGACAAGGGGGAGGGGCATCTGCCACCTTCTCCATCTTTCCAGGGAACTTGTATCCAGGTGCAAATTTTTGAACAATAAATAGCATGGCTCATATAATATAGAATGACTATGTGCCAAAGATCATTAACTAAATAATGAGAGGCCCAGTAAGATGCTGAGTGTGCTTATGACTTTATTTTGAAAAACAGGAGATATACAGTTGGCCACAAAGAACATTCTGAAATGAACTCACTGTTAGATAGAAAACTGGAAGAGATTGAAAACAATAAACTATAACCTCTTTTTATTTATTTTTAACCAGATGAGATCTACATGCTGCATATAACTCAGGGTCTAATTGTGCGTGGGGGGAGCTAAACACAGATCCACTCACCATGTCACTCATGAATGCCCACAGATGTCTGTCAAACAGTACTCTCTTGTAATGTGAGGGAACGTGATGCTGCCTCTCAGCTTTATTTCTAAGTTTTAAAAGATTTTTTTGCTAATAGTCCTCCTGTTTTTGGATCATAGAAAATCTTCATAGACCATTCTCAGTCATGGGAAATGGCTGGTTTCATTCTGTATTAGTCTGATTATTTTCAAAAGTGGCTTTAAGTCACCATAAAATTACCCTTCAGCGTGCAGACTGGGAAACTCCCAAGGCCCAGACTTGACTTCTGTCTGGAAATTTCGTTGAGGTGTCTGAGACTGGGCTTTACAGGTGCCATTATTTGATCATCTAATCCCAAACCTAGAAGTCAAATCCCTGAGTGCCCAACTGATGCCACAGGCAATGCCTATTGATAGGAACTTTACTGTCTAGAGGATGGCCCGGTTCTATGCCCTCTGGTCTCTGTAAACACTGAGCCCACATGCTAACCATGGTTCTCCCAAGCATGGCTTCTCATAACTTAAAGGCAGCCAGTCCTCATGACTGTCCAGATCAGGCCTTAGCTGCACAGGTGACTGGTGAAAGTCAAATTCAGAACAAATAGAATGGAATTTCCACTAAAGCTTTGCAAATAACTGCACCATTGTGCAAAGTGGAGCATCTATCTAAGTGAAATCATGAGCCTTCTTCGGGTTCTGCGGTGCTAGAGACTCAGGTACCATCACAAGCCTTGTGGTTTAGGGTTCCAAGATTGTACTTCTTCACACATCCTCCTGAAATAGGGTGTTGACAAATACACAGAGCTACAGTTAGCTTTCTCCTGTGCATAAGCTCTGTCCTCTATGGTGACTTTTACCCCACTAAGCCATGGATAAGCCGCTGCTTCCATGGAACTGTTTCAGGACTAGCAGTTCCCAACCTGTGGGTCACGACCATTTGGGGGTCACATGTCAGATATCCTGCATATCAGATATTTACATTATGATTCATAGCAGTAGCAAAATTACAGTTATGAAGTAGCAATAAATAATGTTATGGTTGGGGGTCACCACACCATGAGCAACTGTATTAAGGGCTGCAGCATTAGGAAGGTTGAGAAACATTGTCTAGACTAAAGAACTCCTCAAGTTCTGACCAGTCCCTGGCACAGTCTAAATGAAGGCAGTCTTACTCTCTGAAGCTCGCACCAGGAAGGTGGGTGTGAAGCTTCAGTCATCACTGGTACCCAGGGTCATCCTTTTCTAGAAACTCAAGCCTGTGCTTCCTCCCTGAAGTTGCTGGAGGTCTGTGGAATTCATGAAAGCTCCGAGGACAGTGAAATCATCTAGAGGAAGCAGTGTATGACTGTGGATTTGCAGTGAATAATTGTTCTGGTTAGTTTTTTTTTTTTTTTAATAAATTTGACACAGCTGGGGGTTCTCAAACTGTGGGTCGAGACCCCCTTTGGAGTTGCATATCTGATATTCTGCATATCAGGTATTGATATTATGATTCATAACAGTAGCAAGATTACAATTATGAAGTAGCAATGAAAATAATTTTATGGTTGGGGGTCACCACAACATGAGGAACTGTATTAAAGGGTCCCGGGATTAAGAAGATTGAGGAATCACTGACCTGGAGTCATCTGGGAAGAGAAACTTAATTGAGAAAATGTCTCCATCAGATTGGCCTCTAGGCAATTCTGTGGGGCATTTTCTTGATAAATTATTGATGTGGGAGGGAATGCCATCCTTGGACAGGTGGTCCTGGATCGTATAAGAAAGCAGGATTAGCAAGCCAAGGAGTAAGCCACCGAGTAGCACTCTTCTGGCCTCTATACCAAGGGTTCTCTTGAGTGTCCTTTTGGCTTCCCCTGATGATGGCCTGTAACCTGTAGGTTGAATAAACCCTTCCCTCCTCAAGTTGTCTTTGGTCATGTTTTATCACAACAACAGAAAGCAAAATATGACAATAAAATCAAAATAAAGGAGGGCTAGATGATCTGTTGGGATCCAATATTCATTTTCTAAGAATCTAATTGATGTTCTGTCTTGGGCAGGGACACATTGTGGTCAGTGAAAGTATTAAAAAATATCTGAGATATCCCAATATCTTCTATGAAGTTTATTCCTTCTTAAACGTTGTTGATATTTTACCCACATACACTTACTCTTTTATTTGACAAGTAAGTTTTTGTTATTCAGCTTTTATAACAACATCAAATCAACTTACAAATACCCAAAGCGGACCTAATTCTTTCTAGATTTTCTTTCTCTCTAAGATTACAAAACAAATATTTGTGAATTCCCATGGTAACTTTGAGACATCAAAAGATTCTTAGATATGAAAGGTACCCTGACTTTTTCCCTATAAATTCTGCTCTGATTTCAGGGTGGCTAAGTGATGAATTAGGAGAGATCTGTGCACTCATGACTGTAGCAATAGCTTGCCTGCCAATTAGACTGACTGTGCCATATTTGATGACTATTGAAGAAGGTGGCAGAAATTCCTGGAACCTTAGCTCATTAGTAATCAAGGGCATGATGAAGTCATGAAGCACAGAAAACCGTTCCGGTGAGAACCAGAATTCTTACCATCTAGTAGATAAACAGATGCACAAAATAGCCTTGTCTTGCTCCCATAGGAGCCCCAAATGCCTTCAGATCAAGTTACCACGTGATCAATACATAAGCACATATATGGTCTCTCTCTTAGCCTAGCCTGGAACTTACTATGTAGCCCAGGCTAGCCATTAACTTTTAGTGATCCTCCTGCCTCAGTGTTCTGAGTGCTGGGATTACAGATATGAACCACCACATCTGGATCCATTTATCTTTTTAACAGGGAGCTCCAAGTCTCATTCTTATAATATCAGACCGTAAAGTACAGATTCTCATGTTCTTCTGTTTCTTAAACTCAGGGGTGTTTGCTGTTAAGCCACGTTGTAGCCCAACTTTCTTAAAATCTGCAAATGAGTTCCACCTTAAAGAAAGAGTGAGGAAGACGGGAAGGAGGAAATAAAGGAGGGAGGAAGGGAAGAAGGGAAGAAGGTATGTAGGAAGGGAAGGAGGAAGAGAAGGAAGGAGGGAAGGAAGGAGAGAAGAAAGAGGGGGGGAAAACAGGAAGTGGGGAGGGAGTTGAAAATTCCCCATCAAATGCTAGCATTCATGCAGACCCCGAAGCTTGGAGGATTGTAGACTATGACTCCCAACAGTCATTAGTGTGTCTTCAACACTTTCTCCATGTAGCAAAAAGGAACTATTAAACTATTAAATAGTTATTTATTTATATATTAATTAAGCCGGCCTGATGTGGTTCTCTTTGTTTGTATCTACTGTGATTCTCTAACAAACGCCGGGATTTTCTAAATCTGACTCGTTTAATCTATTAGAAGTGTAGTTTCTTTAATTTGAGGGGAATTCTAGGAATATTAGATTAATGTAGGTACTTAAAATCTCTATGAGCCAATTAATTAAGAGATATATTCTAATTTATTAATGCCTTCCAGGAAACCCCCCCCCACACACACACACAGAAATAAAGTTTGCCTCGATCACATGCATTTAGGTGTACAGCCTTGCAGCTTCCCTCCTAGAGACTCAGAGGAGAAGAACAGACAGGAGCTGTGCACACTTACTGCCCACATCTGAAAGGCTACTCTTTGTGTCACAGATGATCACATAGTCCTGGAGGTCAGAAGTCAAGCAGATGAATTGAAACAGCCAACAATCTAGACTCTTGACCATTTCTTAGCCAAGGGAAGAGACGTTCTTGTCCCATCCGGGATTGCCAGATGAGCAGTGACACCTGAGTCCCAGTCACTGTAGCCCTACAGAAGGTAAGTTATTGATCAGCCATAAACGAAGATCAGAACTGAAGCTGGATCCAAATAAAAACAGGTGGGAGGTGGAAGCAAGAGGAAGATGGAGAGAGAAAGCAGAGATGCTGGAGAGAGCCTGATTTGGGATCCAGGCCAGGAGCCAAAATAGCTGTGTCAGCTGCAGCAGCCACACAATGCACTTCCTTGAGCACATTTTAATTGGTGCAGACAGGTTTCACTGAAGCCTCCAAACTGACAACTGTAATGACTTCAGTCCTCTAAAGTTAAAAACACACAGATACAGAGTGAGTCTGTGTCAAGGACTAACTGAGTCATCAATCTGGGAAGCTGTCAGATTGTCAATCTACTTAGAGAAATGAACGTGTTCCCAGGAGGAGTCACCTTATCCTGATGCCCGCTACTTTATTTCTGGTCAGTTTCCATTTCGAGGAAATGGAGCTATTTAGTTTACAAAGACATGCATTCTGAAATATAATGGTTGTTACATACTGTGGGAGGCTGAAAAATGACCACCAAAGATGTCAGTGCCCTCATCCCTAGAGCCAGGTACCTCGCAGGTTCACAGCAAAATTACTTTGCAGATTTTCTTGGCTGAGGATCCTATAATAAAAAGGGTCTTGGATCGTCTGAGCATGATCAGTTGGACCATACAAGTCTTCTTAAGTGGGAAAGGAAGGCAGGGGTAGATCAGAACAATGCTGACCTCCTGGTGCCTGCTGTGAAGATGGAAGGGGAACCATTCTGACCTACTGGTGCCTGCTGTGAAGATGGAGGGGGGACCATTCTGACCTACTGGTGCCTGCTGTGAAAGTGGAGGGGGGACCATTCTGACCTACTGGTACTTGCTGTGAAGATGGAGGAGGGGGACCAGCAGCCAAGAATCATGGTAGCCACCAACTTTCACCAAGGCAGAACAAAGGACCATGGTCATACACTTGCAAGAAACTGATTTTTTTTTTCAATTAGAATACTGGGAAGTAGATTTCTTCCTAGAATTTCTAGAAAGGCACAAGACACCTTAATTTTAGCCTGCTTGGACCTGCACCAGACTTCTGATGTCCAGAACTGTATGATTGCTGTTGGCTTCAGCCATTAAACTCATGATAACAATAGGAAATAGACACAGTGGGACAGACAGAATTTGCTAACGTTCTACAGGATGACAAAGCTAATTATTGATGCTATCTTTCTAACAATCTAATGGCCCTCTGATTTTGTAACTACTGGGGAGGGCAAAGCCAAACATGGGTACATTATTCTAGACAACTGGCTCATTCTTGAGTAATACTGTTGGACACTGCAGTGTGACACTGAGACAACATGTCTGTCACCCTTTGCCTTCACCAACTAGGTAAGATCGTGAGGCAACTTTTCATCTCATAGAATATAAGATCCACAAGGGCAAAGGCTGTGTTTATATCAATTCACATAGATGTGCCAGGGTTTAGTATAATGCCTGATGTGATGTAGGTCCAAGCATATTTATTGAACAGGAATGACTCTACAAAACCTCATCTTTATTTCTGGCTTTAAATGGATGATCAGTCACACTGAATTCCTCCTATTCCTTGGGTGTAAACCTGCCAACCTCTCCCCCACAGTGAGACTTCTGCACTTACTTGATTCTGCTTGTAGCCCAAACCCCACCGGACAAGCTTATGTATAAATGGGTGCATCGTGTCTTAGCTCTAACCACACATCCTCTGAGGTCTGGCTGTTCTCATCCTCGCATGCATTCTCCCAGTTCTTAGAGCCCCGATACCATCTTTTCACAGCGCCTAAACATGATGTTATCTACCTGTGTGGACCCTCCTCCCTGGTCTAATGCAACAAAGTAACCATTTAAGCATCGTGGATTAGAAGGTGTGGCTCTGCAGTTGGGAGCTGTGTCATTCTAGATAAGCTGACCTTATTTTCTCACTTGTGAAGGAGAGGCGATATTAAGCCTGCCTAAGATGGGTGTGAGGATTCAACGTCCAGGGCTTAGGGCAGAGCTTGGTGCATAGGTAGTACACAGGAAGCTCTTGCCATGTTATGTGCTCTGTGCTGCTAATCTACCCTTAGTGTCTGACACAGACTATCTGACATGGTGTTCGGTGTGCATGGGGTCGTTTGTGATGTTCACAGAGTGCTGTGACCTGAGATGAACTGTGTGAGCAGAACTGTAGACAAGACTGCATTGTCTGTAGAATGAGAAAAGCTGTCGAAGGAGACTCTGCTTCAAAGCCAGGAGAGACATCATCCTCTACTTCTGAAAGATGCCTGGAAGCCAATGTACTGGTACCGCTGAACAGTGCTGGAGACTCCAGCCCTGCACCGGAGCCTTACTTTGTCACAAAGACAAGCATCTTGTTCTCCGGAAGAACCATGGACTCTCAACAGTGGTAGTCCCGTGCCACCCCACCCCCACCCCAGGCTCTGCCTCACTCTCTACCCTTCTCCCAACCCCACCACAGTGTCCTAAATCTGGAACTTCTCTAGAACTCTTGAAAGCCATTAGAATGGCCCTGGGAATCAGTCTTTGAAATTCCCAGGAGCCCAGTCAGGCTAGGGTGTGTCTTCTAGGACTGTAAAAGCCTGTTCTTGCTGGGGAGAGCCAGTGGCCATCTCATCCCTTCTTCGGTGACTGGGTTGGTCGCTAGCTGAGCCAACAGACCTTTGGGTGTGCAGGTTGAGCACTGTCCTCCTCCAGCCCTTCTGCCTAAGGTTGGGAAATACCAGGCTGTTTGGTAGCATCACGGGACTCTGTCAGGAGCTCAAGGTGGCTTTATCAAACTCCTGCCCCTTCGGTCATCTTGAAGACCCCTTAGAGTGGAAAGGGATTATCTATAAATTAAGAATAGTCATCTTGCAGCTATCCCCAGAGCCAGCATGGATTTTGTCCATGGAGAGAAGCTATAACCATTAGCATATGTCTTTAGAGTCCTGATATTATTACTGGTGTGGGCTGCCTCCAAGAAGCTGGGAAGAACTCTCATTGACAGCCAGCCAAACCTTCCTATTTTCCATCTGTTATTAGATAAGGTTTTATAGTCGATACTTTTGTGGTTCATATTAAGATGCTTTTA